ACGCCTGTCTCCATCGAGGGCGAGAGCGCCGGCATGAAGAGCGGCGAAAAGTTCACCAGAAACAAAAATGAGCGACGCATGTTTTTTCTTTTCTCTCCCTTTTCTTCCTACTCTCCTCCACTACTGCTGCGGAATCGATTCACCTAAACTTGTGCCTGGCATAATTAAAGCCACCGGCGGCAAACAAACGGGGGGATGAGAAGAGAGAAATAGGGGGCGGCGGGGAGGAAGGGGTGGGGCCGCGGCATGCAACACCCCGGAGCAGCACGCAGTGGGGGGAAAAAAGAAAGAAGGAAGAAAGGCGGCGCCGACGGGCCGAAGGCGCGTTGCAGCATCGAATTCCACACATGGCTCATGCCTCTGCAAGCGTGTGGGGAGACAAAAAAAAAACGCAATAACGCACACACACACACACACACACACGTGCCATATTGCCCTTCCGTCCGCTAAATTAGCAGCAGCAGGAGCAGGATCAGCAAAAGCACAACGACGGCCACGCAGAAGCCCTTGTCCTCGCTCTCCCGCAGAAGCCGCGTCACGTTGCTGTTTTGACGGCGGCTCTCATCTGCCGCGAGCGTCACTCCGGAGTGGAGGCCGTCCAACATGCCATCCTGGTCGCGGAGGTCGTCTCCAATAGAGACGGCGTAGTGCCGTGTATGCATCACGGAGGAATGGAGCTGATCGAGCAGCTTATTCTGCTCCGTGATGTGCTCACTATGCTGCTTTTGCCGGTCCATGGGGTGCCACGGGTGTAGTTCCCTTGCCTTTTTCGTCCCCGCGCTTTCGTTTTTCTTCACTTTTTTTTCTTCTTGCCACGCCCTGCAGAGAATCCCTCCTGCGGCCCCCCAGGCAGAGAGGAGGAAGGAGAGACGCAGCCATTGATGCAGGCCGTGAGACGCGGCACGGCAGCGCGGAGGCCACTCACAGGAATTGTCGGCGGAAACACACACACGTAAGGAAGACAGGAGGTCGACCGAGCACACACAGGCACACCGAGAGAAAAAACAGGCAAATACGCCAACAAACAAACACAGGCAGCCTCTCAGAAGAAACAAAGCTCCCACTCGTGCTCAAACACCAAAACCGCCGCCTGCCATGCGACGAACGCCGCGGGGTTCATTGAACACTTTTGGCGCCCTCAACGCACCGCTCGTGGGCCGCGTCTGGCGCACCGAGCCCCTCCTCTTCCTCCTCTTCACGCGGACGCTTTCGCGCCGACAACCTCCGAAAGGCGCGCTGCAGGCTCGTGGCCGGCTCGGTGTTGTGCCGTGCGGCGAGTTGGGCGTCGCCCTCGACGCGCCATCGCTTCGCTGCCGGAGGCAGAGGCCCAAGAGCCCCTCTCCCACGCACGCCGAAGGCCCGCGCCTCCGTGCCGCCGTCCGCCGGAGGTTCCGAAAACCCGGCCGCCTCACGTGTGCGTTTTGTGTGCGGCAGCGGCTTAAACGCCGACAGTGCCACGGACGACAGCGGCGACGCCGTCGTGGGTCTGTGCCACGTGATGGCGAGCGGCGGGCCGGGCTGTGGCGGCGGCGTTCCCAGGGCCTGCGCTGAGTTGGAGCCGCGCAGCAGGGAGTGGAACAGCTCCCGCGACGACCTCCGTGCCGCTTCCGCCACGGCGGGAGAAATGTACATGACCGGATCTGAGCTCCCCCGCCCCTCTTCCTCGTCCTCTTCCTCGTCCTCCTCGGCGTTTGCGATCGCCGTCGACGACCACAGGCGCCCCCCGGCCCCGTCCGCCACGTTGGCACTCATCAACGCCTCCTCGCATGCAGCACCGAACCCTACTGGGGGAACACACGGTGGTTGCACCGCCCACGTCCTGCACGGCGGAGGCGCTACGGGCGGCGACGCATTCTGCCAGATCCACTCCATGCCTAGTGGAGTCACCACCTCGGCAACGCTCTACAGCAGCGGCCTTCACCACAGCCCGGCCACCGGGGCCCGGTGCACAGCTATACGATCTGGCAAGCGGGAATGAAGTATGCAGAGACGAAGCAGTGCAAAACAAAGACAAGGAACAAGGAGAAAGGAGGAGACACAATGACGGGCACCACCGACAACATTCACAGTGAGCTGCCGTTGCAGAGGCGGCAAGAAGGAGGAAAGCACAGACACGCAAGCAGGAAAAGACAGCAAACAAAAATGTACAATGCACGTTAAACGGCTCTACAGCAGAGGGGTCACGACGCAGCCGCCTCATTGTCTGGGCGGCAGCGTGGGCGGTGGGGAGGGAAATTCCCCGTACACCCCTCCACGGGCGTAGCTCCACTCCGCCTCATTCCTGCCGTCGCTCCCGCCAGCGTCGAGGGCCGGCTCCTCAACCGCCCGGGGATCCAGGGCGGTAGCGTTCCCTGCGCGATCCACAGACTCCGCATCGAAGTGGACTCGCCGTTGCGCGGAAGAGCGTGGGGAGAAGGCGCCGCCCCCGCCAGCAGAACCAATCGAGCCCTGGCGCACCACGGAGGCGGAACGTCCGGGCGGCAGTTGCGTCATCGGCCTCGGTTGCCCAAAGGGCGAGGGCGCCTCATTGTACATGAGGCCGCGACGGTGCTCTCGGCGGTAGCAGAGGTCGATGATCTTCAGCGTGAGCACGTACACCGCCGCCAAAAGGAGACCGCCCAACACGCCGCCCAGCACCGCGTAATCTTCGTTCACCACCGCCAGCGGCTGGTCGCAGACGACGTACCCGGCCGCCGCGGAGGAGGTGTGCGTCAGCCCCAAGTCATTTTCTTGCATGGGACGGGGGAAGAGGTGGAGAATTCGTCGCGTCCTACCTCCACTGAGGTCTACGCAGCGGCAGAGCGAAGCCCCGAACGCAAAAAGAACATGTAAATATATATGTATATATAAGAACCGGAAAAAGAAGTAAGAATAAAGAGCGAACACACATTTCAAGCATCTTTTATCGTTTTGGCAGTCCCAGCGGCTGTGAGCTGAGTGTTATTCGTTTACTTAGCACATGAAGCGAGGCTACAGTAGAAATATATATATATATATAAACAATGCCTCAGCCATGTTTTTTTCTTTCCCTCTATTTTCCGTTATTTTTCTTCTTTGTGATGTGTGTGTGTGTGTGTGTGTTTGCTTGTCTTGTCCCCTCTCGGCAGCCGCCGCTACAAAACGGCAAAGATGCTGAGGGTCCCGGACTCGTCCGCCACCACCGCGAGGTGCTCTTCGGCGGCGAGCGTCACGCAGCCGGGGGTTCCGAGAAAAACGGGCGGCAGCGCGTCGGTGGGGCTCGGGGAGAAGCGGAAGACGCCATCGGTCGCGCTGCTCCTGTCCCACGTGAGCACGGAGCCGTCGGCGTGGCACGAGAGCAGGCCCATGCTGTGCGGCATGTGCAGCCCCGTCACGGGGGCGCCGCAGGGGGGGCTGTGGTCCACCGCCCCGCTGCTCTTCCCGCGAACCGCCGCGAGGCGCAGGTCCCACACCACCAGCACACCCTCCTCGGTCCCGGCCACAACGGAGTTGTCCTTCACGGCAAAGGCGAGCAGCGGGTCATGCGGGGTCCACTTCCACGCACGCACGACGCTGTCGCTCTGCTTCATGCGGGTGTCGACCTCAAGAATGGCGTGATGGCACAGCACCAGCACGGAGGCGGCGTCCCCGTCCATCTCGCGTAGCTGCAGCACAGGAAACGTGGACAACGTCGGGAGTTCAATTGTCTGCTGCACCGACATTCGTGTGCCGCTCAGGCGAAGCAACTTCACTCCGTTCGACTCTCCCCGCTCTCCTCCGCACGCCACCACAACCCGGCCCTCACCGCCCTCCCCAGCAAAGCCGCCGCTGCTGCCGCGGCGAAGGTGCAGGGCCGTGGTCCAGCCTCTACCGTCGTCCTCGATCGCCTTGGGCAGCCTTCGGTACACCACTGCCGCCCCTTCCTCCTCGCAGTAATCACCCTCGTCGATACTTTCGCTCCGACGGTAGACGTACGCGGTGCCGCCCTCCGCCGCGCCCTTGCCGTTTCCCTCCCGGCCCTGCACAACGCAGTGCACCACGCCTTCGGAGGAGAGCATGAGGGCGACGGCAGCGACGCTGGTGCCGGGCACAGAGACGTGGGAGAGGCGGAAGCTCGCCGCATCCGTGGGGTCATCCCACTCGAGGAAGAAGACGCGGTTGCGCGGGTCGAAGGCGGGGGACACGGCAACCACAGCGGCCGGATTTCCTCCACTACCGTCCGTCGTCAGGAGACTCACGTGTCGTGGGGAGATGGGCAGGTACTGCTGCGCCAGGAGCTGAAGAGGCATCGGCTTTTTTGTTTTGTTTTCCTTCCTCTCTCTCTCTATTCCGCCCGCTCCCCTAAGCAAGCAAAACTAGTCCCGTCTCCCAGCCGAAACCACCCCCGCGTTTGACGCACACAAACGCCAAGAGCAAAACAACAACGACAAAAGAGAGAATAAAAAGAAGAAGCAAAGGGAGGGGATGCATCGTTGCCAGTGTTTTCTTCTTCCCCCGGTGCGCCTAACGGGCGTGGGGCCACAGGTACCCACCCAGCAGCGGCTCTACTTCCACCGTTGTGCATGTGTGACTGCATTGCGTCGGAGAACTTACTCGTATCAGTACGGGCAGTTGCGTTAATTCCATGGCCGCCCAGTGCACCGACTCTCTCTCTCTCTTTTTTCTCTTCTTTCTTTCTCCTCCTTCCGCCTCTCCTTTTCCTCCCATCAAATTTCTTCTCTCCCTATCAGTCCTCGATGTCGATTTCGGGCATGTCATCCTCGTCGTCCGACTCGCAGGCGACGGCGGCGGGGACTGCTGGAAGTGGCGTCGCCACCAGCGTGCTCCGTTGCCGTCCTTGCAGCTGCTTCACGGCGGCGGCGGCGGGCACACCCTGCCTGCTATTTCGCGTAGCTTCTACAAGAGAGTGCTGCTGCTGAACCGCTTGGGCCGGTTGGCGCGGCGGCGATGGCTCGGCAGGGCGGGCGCAGACAGTTGTTGTTGCCGCCGCCGCCGCCGCCGCCGCCTGCTGCTGCACTTCCCCAGGCTGCTGCTGCGGCGCACTCGCAGGAGAAGAAGGATGTGAGTCATTAACCCCCGTCGTTTGCTCGACGCCGGCCGAGGGCACGTCCGCAGTGACGCGCCGCGTTGGCTTCTCCACAACGTCAACGGGCGGCAGATAAAACGGGAGCGCGTGCGGGTGGCGCAGCGCCGTCAGCGTCGCGGAAAGCCGCGCGACGGCACGCAGCAGATGTGGATGCTCGCTCCGCTGCCGCAGCGTGACTGCCCGCGCGGGCAGCTCCCTCACCACCCGCACCGCGCACGCCGAGACCACCCCGGGCAGCGGGCGGCAGAGCAGCAGAAGTGACGTGAGCAGCTGCACGCAGCGGGGCTGCACCGCCGCCTCCACGCTGAACGCGGCGGCAGAGGCCGTTGCCTGCAGCTGGGCTCCGCTGGTGTTATTATGTTGATCCTTATCGCTGTTAATATTCGTGGCGTTTGGGCCGCCCTTCTTGCCGCGCCCGGGCTTGCCGCTCTCCGCCGGGGGAGCCGGGGGCGGGGCGTCGAGGATGCCGGCAATCACCACCTCCTGGGCGAAGCGCAGCGTTGCCCGCTGCATCACGGAGGCGCTTATGCACGGACCCACCGCGAGCAGCAGCTCCTCAAAGGCGCACAGGCGCCGCAGAAGGCCGACCGTGTCGTCTTCCTCCTCATCCTCCTCCTCCGTGGCCTCTGCACCCCCCCGCGCCCTCGTCAGCCCAACGAGGCACGGCGCCTTGAGCAGGAAGGGGCCCTTGTCAGTCAGGAGCAGCTCCATCAGCTCCTCCAGCAGCCGCACGGCACCCGCCCTAAAGTACGTGCCGAGTAGCGCCGCGAGCTCCCAGGCGGCAGTGTTCGCCGTGGTGGGAGACGCTACGGCCAGCAGCGCCCGCCGCGCCACTGCGTCGAGCGAGGGCAGCAGCTGCACGCCGTACGTCACAACAAGCGACTGGAGTGCGTGGAGGTGCGGCTCCGCCATGGCGGCGAAAACGGCACCGCCGCGCTGTCGTTTTTTCCCGGCCTGAGGGGCGCTTCCCGCGTCCTGCCGCTGCGCGTCTGCGATGACGGCGTCCAGCGCCGCCAGCGTGCTGCCCAGCAGTTCACTCGCTGACTCGCTCTGCGTCTGCGGCCGCCTCGTCTTGGGGTGCATTGCGCGCTGCCGTCTGTAAGGGCGATGGAGAGAGAGAGAAATAAAGTGTGAGTGATTAAAAAAACAAAGGGACCCACAGCGGCAGCAGCAGCAGCGGAAGAAGAAGGCATGACGCCCGACATTCACAGGCAAAAGCAAAAGCAAAAAAAAAACGAAAAGAGAAGAAAAGCCGCAACGATAAATAAAGCATGCATCACAGTCTGGCGAGGGGGGCACGCTAAAAGAGAGGCGCTTGACGGAAAATTGGTCCTCTCTCTCTCTCTCTTTGCCCCCGGAACCATTTCCCTCCCTCCCCTTCTCCCCGCAAGTGCGACGCAGCACCTTCCCCCCCTTCCCCCACAGACAGACGCACTTGCGCTTCTTTCCCTCAGCCGTCCCCCACTGCTGCCCGTACGCTGCGCCGGCCTCTGCCTACCTCGTCGTCTCGACATTTGGCGACAGCACCGACTTGATGTGCTTCACGTTGCCGCAGAGGGAGCAGCAGCGGGTCGCCGCGTCTATGCCGCTTTCTGCGGAGTCAGAATGGGCCGTGGCGGGCGACATCGAACGCAGAAACTCTGCGGTGGTGAACACCAGCCGCTTGCCCATCTTGTCAATGCGGGTGACGACAAGGAGGGCGTCCCCCTCCCGGATGGTCTGCATGCGGTTGCACTGCATGGACACCGAGACGTGCCCGACAGGCGTCGGCATGAAGGCCAGCATCAAGTGCAGGGAGGTGAGCATGTCGGTCAGGGCGAGCACCGCCCCCTGCGAGAGGACGCCGTCACCTTCCGTGACGGCGGCGGTGACTGTGACGGGCCACGCCATGGCGTACGGAAAGTTCTGCTGCGGCCCCGGCGCCTGGGTGACGGGGACAGGCCTCATTGTCACAAAAACGCGGTTTTGGTCCAGCAGCAGCTGCTCCTCCAGCAGCCGGATGCCAAACTTGTCGATGGTGCGGAGGTGGGCGTAGATGTTCATGTAGTTGGGAAAGACCTGCAGCAGGGGCATCCACGCCACGCCCTCCAACGATGCCGTCATGCCTCCGCGCCGTTTTTGTTGCTGCTGTTGTTGTTGTTGTTGTTTTTTTTTGCTCGTTTGTTTGTTTGATCGTTTCTGTTTTCTGTCTTCCTGCCTTCCTCGTGCCGTCGCCCTTCCCGCGCGCTGTGCGTGTGTGCCCCCTTGGGGACCCGCAGAAAGTGAAGACACGCGCAAGCCGACGCAAAAGAGGGGAGGACGGAGCAGCAGCCTCGCCGAGGAAGTCACCGCGCGCAACCCGTCGCCAGCGCAAACGCACGGGCCAAAAGAGCAGCGGCCACAGCAGCAACACGGAAAAGAAACGAAGAAAACGCAAAGTGTACAAAACGGCCAGGAAAGATTTGCCCCGTCAAGTGTCGCGTACGCATTGCACGCACAGCAAAAAAGAAGAGGTGCGTGCGCATACGTTATTAATGCACCCCGGACACAGTGGGGGAAAGTATATATGTTTGCCCTAAAAGGGGGAAAAAAGGTATGATTATTTTTCTTACTTAGAGCGGATGAGAAACTTCACGTGTTTTCCACTGGCGAGAAGTTCAAACCGTCGCAGAAAACTGTCCATCTCTGCTATGGAGGTCGCCGGCGCCTCCGCCGCCGACGTCGCGCTCTCGCCGGGCCTGTCACGCAGCAACTCGGCCGACATGAATGCGAGCCGGGCGCCCATCTTCTCCACGCGGCTAATCAGCACCAGCGTGTCGCCGCGCCGGATGGGACGCAGACACCTCGACTGCATGTTCACCGAGACGTGGGCGTCGCTGGAGGGGAGAAGGCGCTCCATGACGTGCACGGAGGTGGTCGCGTCCAGCAGGGAGGCGAAGGCCCCGCCGCTCATCGCGCCCCCGTCTTCCCCCGCCTCGCACACGGCGGCCGTGACGGTGAGGGGGAACGCCATCGCGTGCGTCACGCGACGCCCCGCCACCCGCGCGTCCGGCGCGAGCAGCACCCGGGTCTCCTCCGGGCGGTAAGTGACGCCCTCCAGCAGCCGCCGCGTGTGCGGCGACGCCCGGCTGAAGGCGAGGAAGCGCTCCGCAAAGGCCGGGCTGTGCGTCGCCAGCGGCACCCACAGCGGCTGCCGTGCAAACATCCCTACGCGCCCGCCGCCCCTCTGCGCGAGTGCAGTTAAGCGCGCAAGCGCACTATTAACGGCTACGTACACCCGTATGCAAGCTGCTTTTTTTTTCTCCTTGCGTTTTCTTTTTGTGTGGTTGCGTCCCTTCCATAGCGTTTTACTCATCGGACAGAAGAAGGGAGGAAGGTCGGTGCAGTTCTCGCAGGCACAGAGAGAAGGAAAGGGAAGGACAGGGAAAAAAAAAAACAGCTAGCGAGGGATAGAAGTGCATAACTTTGCGCCCACAGACAAACACACACACACACACACCTCTGCTGCTGGGAAAGAAGAGGGCGGAGGGAGACGGAAGGGCGGAAATAAATTTCAATAAACACACAAAGCGAGAGAGAAAGAGAGAGACAAACAGAGGGAGATAATACGCACCCAGCAGTAAACATTATTAGTCGCTTCTTGGGGCACTGCCGCCCGGAAAACGAGGAGCGCAGAAAAACAACAGGAGGAGATGTGGGCATAATTTGTCCGCGCAGGAGGAAGGAAGAAAAGCACCAACGGCAGCAGCCCTCGGTGGTGGCACCGAGGAGGGAACCAAAACGCGGCGCGCGCGCGCGCGCGAGAACGCAGGCATATTTTCGTACACGGGGAAAAAATAATAATAGACGTACACCCTGAAAAGCTCGAGCACCGCCCACATGAGTGTTCTCCTCCCTCGTCGCCTGTTAAGCACCTCGGCCGAAGCACACACGCACGTGCGCGTCCTGCTCCGTTTCCATTTCTTTACTCGCAGCTTCTTCCCTACTCCTCCGCGCCAATGACAGGCAGAGGATTTCTGTGTTTATGTGCCCCACACTTAAACTGCTCCTGTTCTTTTTTTATTCTTCTGCTTCTTCATTCATTTGCCATCATACTTCGTGCTATTTTCATTTGCTTTTTTTTGTTTGTTGCTTCTGCTAGTTGTTTTCAGTTTTCATTCCTTATTTTCTTTCCTCCTCCGCAGTGAGGCGCGGGATAATGGCGGTGGTGGGGCCTGCGATGTTTACTGCGGGGCACACTGCACCGTCTGCGTCCCCGCGGGGCCGCCGTGATATGCCGCGAAGCCCTCCTCGCCCATGCCGCCGGGCATCGGCATCTGCCGCTGCTGCTGCCGGCGCCGGGCAGCGGCGGCGCGCCCCGACCCGCTCCGCCCCCGCCCCTGCCGCTGGCTCAAGTCGCTGAGCACCAACTTATGCCCACCGACCCGCGGGAGCGTCTCCGGTGCGCCGAGGGCGGCGGCGATGCTCTTCAGCTGCCGCGCGCCCAGCTGCGTCGGGTACTCCACCTCGAAGTGGATGACGAGGTTGCCGCGGTCCAGCCCGCCTGTGTTCGGCAGCGGCATCCCCTCCCCCCGGACCACCCACGCCGCCTCGGGGTCTATCACCTGCCCGCACGGGATCTTTATCAGCCGCATGCGCCGGTCGAGGTGCTGCACCGGAAGCTCAAACCCGCAGAGCGCCTCCTGCAGGCTGATGGTGTAGTTCATGAGGAGGTGGTTGCCGACGCGCCGGAAGACGTCGTGCGGCTTCTGCGCCAAGATGATGAGCACGTCGCCCTTGAGACGCATGCCAACTACCTCGTCGCCCTCTCCGTCAAACCGCACGACGTCCTGGTGCCGCATCCCCTTCTCAATGTGCACCTCAAGCACCTTTTGATCCTTCACCGTGCGGCTGCCGCGGCAGCGGCCGCAGATGTCCACCTCCCGCACAGTGGTGCCCTCCCCACCGCAGCTCTGACACGTCTGCTGCACGCGCTGGTGCATGCCGAGGAAGAGCTCCTGCACGAACATCTGGGAGCCCTGGCCGCGGCAGGCAACGCAGGTGCGGCGCTCTGCCCCGGGTTTGATGCCGTTGCCGTCACACGCCTCACAGCGCCGATCACGCGTGACGGAGACCTTCCGCGTCTTCCCGTTGTACAGGTCCTCGAGCGAGACCCGCAGCTCGTGCACGAGGTCCTTCGGCTTTCGCTCCCCGCGCGGGCGGCGTCCGCCGCCAAAGAACATGGAGAAGATGTCGGACGCGTCGAATTCGCCGTCGCCGCCGCCGCCGCCCTCCAGCCCCGCCTTGCCGTGCTGGTCGTAAATGCGCCGCTTCTCCTCGTCGCTGAGGATCTCGTAGGCGTGGCTGATGCGCTTAAACATCTCCGCCGCCTCCTGGTCGCCGGGGTTTTTGTCCGGGTGGTACCTCAGCGCGAGCCGGCGGTAGGCCCGCTTGATGTCGTGGTCGACGGCATCCACGCTCAGGCCGAGGACCTCGTAGTACTCGCTTTCCTTCACCATTGGGCCCGCTCCCTGCTCCGCCCCGCCGCCTTCGCTTCAAGTCTCGCCCGCACCCGCTGCTACCGCGCGCCTCCTGTTTGACCTCTGCGTGCGTGCGTGAGCCGAGGACGCACAGGCGGGGAAAAGGAAGAAAATGTAGTCGACAAGAAAAGCAACGAGGAGGAAGAAAAAGAGAGCTGGGGCCAAAACTGCGAAGGGCAACACACACACACACACACACACGGGCGGCGGCAAACGTTCCCCTCCCCCCCTGCAAAGCGGCATACATCTCCCTCTCTATCTCTCTGTGCATCTGGAAAGCAAAGAAGGGCGCCCACGCGCACTCACCCCGAAGGAAGCCAAAAAGAAGAAAACCAGTTACCCCCCTCCCCCTCCCTCCCAAACCCGTTGCAGGAAGCACTTCACAACCGGGAAACACAGCAACTCTCTCTTTCTCTCTCTCACACACACACGCACGCAGAAAACGCTTCCTCGGCCACTCCTCCTCTCGGAGACGCAGGAACGGCAGGACAAGACACGGCTAATTCAGCCTTCCGCTGGCGCAAGCCTTCAGGTGCTGCTGCCGCTGCATGAAGTGCAGAGCGGTTGACCGACGTGGCGCAGCCGTCCCGCCACCGCCGCCCTTAACGACCTTCACCGCCAGCTGCGTCTCCAGCTCGTAGGCGTACAAAGACTGCTCGGTGAGTTCGTCGAGGAGGGAGACGGCCAACTCCTGCAGCGCCTCGACGTGACTCTCACATGCCAGCAAAGCGGCCTGCAGCTGCTGGTTTGTGTCGGACAGGCGTGTCCACTCGGGCCTCTGCGCCGCGAGCAAACGTCGCATCTCAAGGAGCTCGCGGCTCTCCAGCGTCACGGCGGATGCGAGTGTCGCATAACCTTCCTCCGCCGCCGCCGCCGCCGCGCGCTGCTCCTGCAGGTGCAAAGCAAGATCAACAACTTTCGCCTCCAACGCCGCCAAGTGGGCCTCGTGGCTCTCGCCCTCGTCCCCTGTGCAGGAGCCGCCGCCGCCATCGTCGTCGCCAGGGAGGCTGGTGGCGGCGTTCTCACGCGTCGCGCTGTGCGGCGATGCGGGTGGGGCCGCCTGCTCTGACACAAAGCGTGCCTCCCACACACACACGGCCGCTTGTGCCGCCGCAAGAGCCTCCTGCAGGGAGGCATGTTCCTCCTGCACGGAGGCCCAGTACTGCCGCCGCGCCTCAATCTCGGCCCGCGCGGCTGTGAGGTACGCCAGCGACTCCGAATATGTTGTGTGTATCGCCTGCAGTTCATCCCGCAGCGCGGCTTCGCGTTCAACGACAGCGTCGTGCTCCTCCTGCCGGCGCCGCAGCTCTTCACACTCTGCCTCCGTCCCATGAAGGGCTGTACGCAGTCTGTCGTTCTCCGCAGCCACCTGCAGAACCGCCTCGCGCAGCTCACCCACCGCCGCCTCGAGGCGGTCGCACTGCCCGGCCAAGGCGTCCAGCTCCTGCCGCAGCAAGTCCGCCTCGCGCTGCAGCCGCTGGTGTCGCTCACGCCACATCGTCAGCTCCGCCTGCTTCTCCTGCAGCGCCGCCGTGGCACGATGCAGCTGCTCCTGCTGCTCCTTTTCTCGCTGCAGCACGGTGTGGGACGCCTGGGCGCACTGCCGTAGCGCTGCCTCCTTGGAGGCCACTTCCACCTCGAGCCGCGCCTTTTCGGCCTCGCAGGAGGACAACAGGGAGACCTGCTCCCGCAGCCGCGCCAGCTCCAGCCGGTCGCAGTCAACCCCGGCGTCGGTGCTGGGGGACTGAGGCATCCCCGCCCGCTGGTGACCGCCGCTGCCTGGGCCCTCTGCAGCGCCACCGTGGCGCCCGTCCTTCTCCGCATCGTACGCCGCCGCGGCCGGCGTTGCTGCTGCGGGGCAAAGCGACCTGGCGAGGGCACCGCGGATGACGTCGAGGTCGCTCTGAATGCCCTCCATCTGCCGCTGTCTGACACGCAGAGCAGAGAAGCAATATTTGGGGTGGGGGTGGGTGGGAGTCGCAAGCAAACACACACGCGCACGGCAATCCGCCCCACACGCCAGAAGCCGCAGAGCCGGCCTCCTCCTCTCTCTTCCCACGACAGGAAGGTGATCGGGGAAGCCAGAAGAAGCAGCGAAGAAGAATAATAATGACCAGAATAAAAAGAGAAAAAAAAAACAAAAAAAAACGAGGGCGCTTTCCACACACGCAATGCACAAAAATGTAGCAAACCTTTCGATTCCTCCAACGCCTTCCCTATTTTTGTTGTTGTTGTTGTTGTTGTTTGCTGCTGCTTGTGTGTTTTCTTGCCTCCTGTGAAGTTTCCTTCGTTGGCCTGTGCCCCCTCCTACACTCACTGTCTCCCTGGATACGCCGCACCAAGCACGATAAAGCAGCACTGTCTCCCCTCCCCGAGTTCCCCCGCTCGCTGCCGCGGCGATACGCAGGACAGGCATATGTATATATATATATATACGGAGGGTGGTAGGGACTACACATCAATTTCCTTCCAGCGTTCATCCACCTGCTGCCGCGATCGAATGTAGCGTGTCGTGTTGCGGTAGAACGTGCGCGCTGCAGTGTACACTTCCCTTGCGGAGCCGACGTCCGTCCCGTGGCTCGCGTTTTTCTCCCCCACGGCATCCTTCAGCGCATCCGCTTCGCAGCCGTCGTCGTCGGTGTCGCCCGCGCCGGCGCCACCGCAGCTGTTCGTCGCCTCCTGCACGAGGTCTATGAGGGCGGAGATGTACTGCACCGTCACCCCGGGCGCACTCGTGGCGTAGTAGTGCAGCAGCCGGTTCAGCAGCTCAACGAAGAGCGCGAGCCGCTGCGCCTCCTGCACGTGGTCGGCAATCTTCAGCGCGCGCTGAAGGCACTCGAGCACCCGGCGGTGGCTCTCCTCGGAGAGGGCGGTCTTCCAAAAGAGACTCGCGCAGAGCGCCACCACGCGACTGCGATCCACCTTCCGCACCAGCTTGGAGCTGTACTGGCAGACTTTGGTGGCGAGCAGCTCGTAGTTCTCCTCAGCGACGCTGCGCAGGCCGTAGAGGGAGGAGATGAGGCAAGTGAGCATCTCAATCTGCTCCCGCGTGTCGGCGGCATTCTCCTCGTAGAGCTGAAAGGCACTGACGTACAGCTCGTATGCCACATCCGGCAGACCACACGTGTCCGCGGCGTTGGCGCTTGTGAGGTAGAGCTGAAAGCCTTCCACCGGCTGCTCAGCGGCAAGCATCTCAAGAATGCCCTTCCCGTCCCCGCAGTGAATGATCTGAAAGGGCCTGGTACACGGCACCCGCCGCTTCGTCGCGGCGCCGCCCTCGTCGTTGCCCTCTGCCTCGGCCATGCTCGCCGTGCGGAGCGCGAGGCGGACGTAAAGCGAGACCAACGTCGGCAGTGTCACGGCAATGCGCTCCGGCCCGCACTGCCCCAGCAGCTTCCGCACACCATTCAGCATCTTCAGCTGCGTCGCGTCGTCGTCAGACCGCAGTAGGTGCAGCACGCGACACACGAGGTTCTGCTCCTCGCGAAATTCCTCCGCCGCGTTGCCAACGTACACGGCGCCGCGCTGCGCAGGCGCATCTGGCTCCTCCTGCAGCAGCGGGGCGAGAAGCTCAAAGAGCCGCGCAGACAGCTCAAGCGTCCCGATGCGGTGCGCCGTGGACTGCACGCTAGCGGAGCACAACGTGACCGCCACCACCCGCCGCGAGAAGAACGGCAGCTTCTGCGTCAGAACCTCCAGGTCCAGAATGCCGAGGACGACGCTGGGGTCCTTGAGCGTCTCAATCACGTGCACAATCATGCGTTCGATCGCCCTTGCTAAGGGTTCCTTAAGCGGGAGGGTGAGTTGCCCCGCCACGGCCGTGAAGACGGCGCCGATGTGCTCCACGGCGGCCGCCCGGTCCGCCCTCAGCGTCAGACGGACGAGGCTCATCATCGCCCGCAGGTACGCGGCGAGGGTGAAGGGGTGCTTTGGGTGGCCGCCGCCGCCGCCGCCGCTGTTTTTGTCACTGCTACCGCTACTCGTTAACTTGCCGCTGCTGCTGCCGTTCCTCGCCTCACTTGCGGCCAGCATGGCGTCAAGGCGCGCCTTGAACACGTCAAACATCGTCTGCAGGAGCCTCTCCTCCTTGCGACCACTCACCTCGGCGAGGCCCTCCCGCAGCGAGGTCGCGTAGTTGCCGAGGCGCTCCATGAGGGAGGCCAGGGTGGCGCACACGTCCACGCCCGAGGAGACGTCCTCGAGGGCGGCAAGCAGCTCATTGAGGGTGAAGAGGTGAAACTCGTCGGGGAAGACCTGCACGATAACGTCCAGCAGGTACTGCTGCGCCAGAGGCTCGCGGTACTTGACGATGATGTTCAGCAGGCGCGGCAGAATGGTGTTTTTGTACGCCTGGCGCTCCACCCCCTCCAGCTGCGAGAGGCGCACGACGTTCATGCCCACCAGCACGCACAGCTCCTTACGGTCCCTCTGCCTGCGGTGCAGCTGACTCTGCACCTCCACCGCCCGCGGTGGCGCCTTAGCCTCGATGCGGATCAGTAGCCAATTCATCTCGCTGAAGTTCTGCAGAATGAGCTCGGCGGTGTCCTCCACCGTGCCGCCGTCATTCTCCAGGCTGTTCGCACTTCCGCGGCCGCTGTCGCCAGGCAGCTTGTTCTTCATCATTGTCAAGAGAAAGTGTCGCAGAAAGAGCCCCCGCGTGGGGTGCTGTACCCCTTTGCACATCTCCACCAAATCCCGCATAATCTCAATGGCAGGCTCTTCGCCGGACTTGACGTAGACCGATCCTACGGTGATGAGGAGGTACAGGCGGGGGACAATGTTGCCGGCGTGCTGCACCACCTCGTACATCTCCCCCAGCGACCGCCCGCGGCTGTGCTCCTCCTCAATGTACTGCTCCAGGTGCTGCAGCTCATCAAAGACCTTGATGTACAGCTCGTAGTAGTGCTGCGGGGCCAACATGCCCGTGCGCAGCTCCAGCAGCATCTGCGAGGCGTTGCGCAGGACGTGGATGAATTCCCGCTGACGGATGTACGTCTTCATGCGGGCCGCCTTCTCCTTCACCGCCTGCACCGCCTCGCCAAGCCACTTATCCTGCTCCTGCCCCGGCGTCAGAATGGGCCTGTCGATGGAGACGACCTCCAGGGCCTCCCCCACCACCGCATTCATCGCCACGGCAGCCACGCAGCCCCCTCCGCCTCTTCGCTCCCTCTTCCCTCGGGCACACGGGAGGGAGAAAGCGCGGTCTGTTTGCAAAAGAGCTCCCGCCTTCTCTGTCAGACGCGCACCACCCAAACGGCGCAAGAAAGAAAGAGACAAAAAGGTAGAGAGAGGGAGAGGGAGGTAAAGAAAGGCCGCCGCCAAACGGCAGACACACAAACATGCATGCAACTGAGGGCAGCACAATCCCCATGCAGCCATCGCCATGGGAGGCACGGGCTGTGATGAGCACCGTCACTGCAATTCCGTCTAGATGCTTGATTTCAAAGCCCGCACGCCAAATAACTCCACCGCCGCCGATGTTATTGCTACATATAAATAAGTAAATAAATAGACACTGTAGGCCGCCCGCGGCTGACACGCGGCTTCGTTCGCGCCTTCGCCTGCGCCGCCGCCGCCGCCAGATGAAGGGCCAGGTTGCGGGTCGCATGGGGAACACACAGCAGCCAAAGTGGAGGGAGTGTCCGCTTGCGCGCCCCCCAAAAGCCAGCCCGCAGCGTAGATACGAATAAACTTCCCCGCCCACCCCCTCCAGAGAAACACACACACCGAATAAAACAAAAGAAAAAAGAAAATAAAAACACAGAGGCGCCATTCCACCGCACATTGTTCTTGGTGTGGCGTTCCCGCCTAGACGCACTTGAGCACCTCTTCCGTTGCCTCAGTGACTTGAAGGCATCCAAAGCCCTTGACAACGTCTACGAGGCATGCCTCAAGCTCCGCCACCTGCACATCGCTGGGGGAACCGTATTCGTGTAGTTGCAGAGTGTAGATGGAGTCCGAGACGCGCCGAAACGTTTTCCGTTCGGCGGCAGCGCCGCCTGCGTAGTCGGGAGAGCTGGGGGGATTCTCCTCCTTCACCGCGTTGAAGCCCGCACAGCAGGCAGTGACGGCGTCAGCAAGGCACTGAAGCTCCGCCTCGGTGATCGGCCCCGTTACATGTACCTCCAGCGGGTCGAGGTCGTAGTGAACAACGAGAAACCCGCCGTCGTGCCGCCTAACCCCCGCCGCACCCTCGCCGGCATCTGGCAGCGCCGCCTCACGAAGGGCGGGCGGCACCGTTGCGGATGCCGTTGCCGGTGTCGCTTTGGCTGCCACCGCCTCGGCCTCTGCCGCATCCACCGCAGTCGCTGCAGTAGCCGCCACGGTGTTGCCGCAAACGGGGGCCGTCACTGGCTTCCCTTGCGGCGCTACTCGCAGGCCAGCGACACCGCGCCGGAGCCCTTGCATCAGCTGCACGTATGAGGCGACCATTTTTTTCGTCTCTTCCCTCTTTATCCGCACGGCGGTGGCGTCACCAGAGCCAGGCGGCGGTGGCGGTACGGCCACTGCAGTTTGCGGCGGTGCATTGCCGGGCGCCACCTGCTGCTGCTGCTGCTGCTGCTGCTGCTCACGCGTGGGGAAGGCGGCAGCCGCCCCATTGAGGTCCGGCGGTAGACACGGGCTGCTCGGCAGTGCCACAACGAGGCGAATGTTTTGGTGGCCAAAGTGTTGTGCGCTGTGGACGAAACTGGCGATGTCGGCTTCGCTGCTCAGCGGCAGGCGCTCCTCCTCCTCCGCAACGTGGTAAGAGACGTCCATGAGGTACGGCCAGCAGAGAAGCTTCTGCAGAGAGCTCTTGAGCCGCCGCAGGGGCGGCGGGTGCGCAAAGTCAAAGCGTATCTCCCCCATCTTCCTGCCACGGGCATCCATCACGCTGATGGCCTCCACGCCACGGTGCTCCTGCTGCACCGCGGGGGGTTCGGCAAACATATCATGTCTGCAGACCCGCAGGATTCCACGTTCGGGGCAGCGGTACAGCAGGAGCAGCTCCAGCGGGACGGCCTCCCCGTTCCTCCTCGCGTCCTCCCCACCAGGCGCAGCCTCCCCGGTCTCCCCGGCGGCACCGTCAGAGGAGGCGTCCGGCGGGCTAGCCGCCACCGCCAGTGCCTCCCGCCGCAGAACCTCTCTTGTCCACTCCCACTGCCGCCGGCTGATGACCAAAAGCGGACCGAACGCCTTCGTCTGCGCCTCCAGCATCAGTTCGAACGGCAGCCCTCCGGCGCCTGCCTGGCCGGCCTTTGCCCCGCCCTCGCCCCGCGCCGGATCCCCCACTAGCAGCCAGCGCGCGAGTGGCAGGTGCTCCGCGCTTCCGTGCGCCGTCACGAGTGGCGCGGTGGCGTCGTCGCGCGGGAGAACAAACTTGGAAAAATAATGCGGCAGCTCGAGCTGCACGAGACGCACCATGTGGTGGGCGAGCGTTTCCACGTCCTCCGCGTCGGAGAGGAGGGACTTCGCGCCAAAGTGAACCCGCACCTTCATCTGTGGCTGCCACGGGCCGGACCAGCAGCTCGCCGCGGCGTCTCTCTCGCTCTCTCTCTCTCTCGCTCCCTCCCTTTGTTCTGCTGTGAGCCCTTCTTCCCCTACGCTCTTCCCGTGGCGCAACCCGCAGCGTTCGCAGAGCGCAGGCGACGAACCAGTGCGAGGAAGGAGAAAACAAGCAGAAGCAAAAGAAGCAGAGGAGGGGGCAAGCCCCAAAGAAAAAGTGGCGTGGGCGTCAATGCCCCCACACCCCCCCACCCCCACCCCTCACGAGCCCGCCCCTCGTCATTGCCGCGGCGTGTTGCGTCTGCCCACCGCGACAGCGGCCAGCAGCGATGCTCCGGCGGAGACGCCTGTGAAGCGCGGGCCCACAACGCGAATGCGAACCACGCAAAAAAAAAAAGAAAAAAACAACGACAACACAACAACAAGAAAAGCAGAGTTGCTCCTAGGTAGCAAGCGCTGCTGCCCCTTTGACAATCCAAAGACACAGCAGCATCCATTCCGCTCGGAATGTCCCTACTTTTTTCACCTTCCCCCGCCCACACACACACGTGCGGGACAGCAGCAGCAGCAGCAGCAGCCCCAGCCATGGCGTCACGTTACTCCCGCCCGTCCTTCTCACGTCTCGCCTCACTGCTGCGCCTTTCAGCATCGCCATCTCGGTTTTTCTCCCCACCATCCTCGTCGTTGCCGCGTGATCGCTTCTGCCCAGGCACCGCAGCGGCGTTGGTCGCACCGTTCTGCCCCGTTGCCGCCGTCTCCGCCTCCCTCTGACGCAGAAGCCGCTGATGGTGCCTGGCGACCTCGTCGGGGTCAAACACCAGCGGCGTTTGCCCAAAGGTGCGCTGCACCGCCCCCTCAAAGGTGGCACTGGTGGCGTCCATGTTGTCTAGCACGTACGTCTGCGAGGCCGCGTCCAGGTTGTGCATTAGTTGCATGCCGCACAGACTAAACAGATTCTCATACGTGTCCTCCATAAACACGTGGGAGAGCGGGTGGTCCCACGGCGCGGCGGCCTCCTCAGCCGCAGTATTGTTATTATTACTGTTATCACCATCCCCGCCACCACCGTAGACGACGGAGGGGTTTACGCCCGCAGTCTCCTGCGCGCAGGTCGGGCTGTTGTGGTTCTCAGCGCCACAGCCGCCGACGCCACCACCACCAGCCTCACCGAGGGAAGGCAGTCCCTTCGCTATGCGGAGGGCATTGCAGCGCTGGCACACAAAAAAAGTGCGGTCATGCTGCAGTTCACACGTCTGACACATGAAGGCCTGCTCGTCCCGGATTGGGTGGCCGCAGTGGTCACAGGCGTCGTGCAACGGCAACATCATCTCGTTGACGCTGGCGGTGGCGGCGCGCGGCGCGAATCGCTCATACGCCTCTCGACACGGCGCGCACCTGCACGTCATGTCCGCCGTGAACGCGTCCACCGGGAGGAGCATGCCGTGGAACGGGTAGACGTCGCCTGGGCAGGGCGCATCGGCCGCCAGCCTACAGGGCGCAATGCGTTTGTGCTGCTCTGCCGGGACGCGTTCTGGCAAAACTCCCCCGTAGCAGTGAAGCGGGTCTTTTTCCACCAGCCACGGGCACTCCTGCATGCACCGCGCGCAAATAAAGCCCATAAATGGGTCACTGTTCATTATTTCCGCCGCGACGTCCGGCGGCATAGGCATGTACAGGGCAGGGTCATCCACCTCCGCCTCGGGGACCGCCTCCGCGATGGAGCAGCAGCCGCGACAGCCGCAGCTAAACTCGACACCCTCCGGGGCCCCATTCCCTGTGCCGTCCTTGCGAGAGGGGATAATGTACTCGGGGTCCACGTCGTGGTCCTTGTGGCAGCGCAGTCGGCAGGGGGTGCAGACAAGCGTGTCACACGTGCGACAGCGGAAGGCAACGGTGACACCTTCGAGCACGTCGCCGTAGCACGGGATGCGACGGAAGGCGCCAGAGTAGAGGCGGGTCATGTGCGAACTCCAATAGCAGCTTGTGCACAACATGCAGACGACGCCACCGCCGTCGGCGTCGTCGGCGGGGAAATTTTCCTCGCATTCACAGTAGCACCACGAGTTCAGCGTGCGCGGGTAACGATTCTTGCTGTTGTAGGGAACCACAGATGCGGCCGGGGGCAGCCCCGTCGCGGAGTCGATGAGGAAGCAACACTGCTGGGGCTCTTCATCCTCTCCGCCTCCGCCTTGCGGCTGCGGTGCCTCCCCGCTGCTTTGGTTCCCCTGCACTCTATGCTCCTTGTCGACCTGGTGCCAGCAAGCGGCGGTGCAGCAGTCGCAGCGCATGTAGTACCGCACCCCCCACTCCTCCACGTCGTGCGAGGCGTGACAGACATCCGCGCAGGCGTAACAAATGGCGTGCGCCGGGTCCGCCCGCCCGCTCCTCACGCACGTGCGGCAGACAAAGGCGACCTGCCGCGCGTACCCCCGGCTGTAGCTGCAGCGGTACCAACGGCTGTCAAGCTCCACCGTGGTGGAGACGAGCCGGTGCAGCTGCGCCATCGCCTCCTCGTTTATGTGCGGGACGACGACGGCGGAGCCCACCAGCATGACCGGAATCGTGACGGCGGCCGCCACCCCACCGCCGCCCTGCGGCTCGGCGGCAACCAGATCCAGCAGCCGCACCTCGTTGCGCCCCTCACGCCGGTGTCGCTTAAGCACGGGCCCACCGAACATCAGTCGCTGCTTCTCACTTGGCACCCCGCTGCGCCGCACAAGTTCATCCTTCAAGTCGCCCACTGTCGCCGTCGCGGCGGGAAACACGAGCAGCATCTTCTGCCCTGCGTGTGTCACCGCCACACGTATGTCTGCTGCAGTACCGACGTCCTTGTCGTGGTGCGGGACCATATTCGCGGAAGTCCTTAAACAGAGGGCTGCAAGGCGCAAAGGGTGAAGAAGAAGAACGAGAGGGGGGGCGTGCAATGGAGAGGCAGACAGGCACGCCACAGAGAGGGGCTGCAGCAACGCCCACAAGCAGAAACAAGCAAAAATCTAATCAGCAAAGCAATGCAGACACACACACACACACTTACGCACTCAGACATGCTGTCAACTGGATGGATTGGTAACAACTTGAAGTGCAGACGCCCCTGGCGAAGCCGTGGGTCAGCGTGCCGCGGTGCCAGTGCTGTGCAAGAAAAGGAGCGCCTTGCCTGCGGCTACTCCTTTGGGCGGCGCCGTGTTCACAAGGCCCGGGAAAAATGCAGTACATTTCCCGCCCCACAGCTGCACGTGCCGACGGGTAGCGCCGCAGCGAGGGCGCACTACATGTACGGAACGGTAGGATGCTAACGCTACACGTGCAGGGAGACGAACAGTCACTATGGAAGCAGAACAACAACAACAACCAACATGCAGACTCCTTTGAACTAAGCATGTGTGTGGAAACACAACAGGTGTGTGTGTGTGTGTGGAGTAACATCAGAAGGAGTAAAGAAAGAGAGGGAGAAATAAAATAACAAAAAAAAGAAAGCACGATGTACATCTTGGGCACACACGCAGAGGCCCTGCCAGGTGCAGCGGCGGCGACGGCGCGCCCCCGCACCGACAGCACCTTCGCATTTTCCCCTCGCCACCCCCACCCACACGTCGGCAGCCACGCCGGAGTGAGAAGAGTGCGG